CTGATTTTTCTCTAGCTTTGCTCAGTTCTTTGGGTGCAGGAATGGGGACAGTGGGTGGTTGAATTCACTCAGGGTGGGTACTTTGAGAAAAGGGTTCTAGAGAAGTTTAGGAATTTACAGGAGAAGGCTTGTAGTGGAATCTGAGATGATGAAGAGAGAAGTGAGGAGGCTTTCTTACTGGTAAGGAGAAATTGGTTTGGCCTGTGGATTGAAAGATTATGATAGTTTAAAGACATACTGTCCCTGAGGCATTTGAGCTGCATGTCGTCCTTTCATGCACAATGGAAGTAGACTAGATGGAACATTCATATTAAGGTTTTAATTCTAGCCACTCTGATGTACAGCTGTGTGGTTTGGCACAAGATACTTGAGACTCAGTTTCTTTATATGTAAATAAAAGGGTTGAACAAGATCACATCTCAAACTTCAGCATGCACCGAATTACTGGAGTATCTTGTTTAAAGGTAGATTCTGTTTTAGTAGATCTTTGGTGGGATCTGAGGTTTTGCATTTGTAAGAAGCAACCATGTGATTCCAACATTGTTGGTCCATGGATCACATTTTGAGTAGCAAGGAAGAGATATTTTATAGTCTTCAAAATTCTGTTTATAAAACTCCGACCTCCTTCTTTGCCTTCCTTTTCTGAACTTTGCCAATTCATTTTGAAACCAAGATTTGGACACGTCTATAGTTTTAACTGAGCAGGAAGTAAATAGAGAACGATGCAAACTCTGCAGAATAACCCACGCCCAGCAACGGAAACAGAAAGGGTTGATGACGTCTTAAGCTTGTGTTTGCCTGGGTGGGGGTAAGTGATACGACCTTTTCCCAGGCATGGCGTGTCAAACAGGAATGTACTATCACTCAGGAAATGGTTTCAATACAAACAGGGACACCAGAGATCAGGGTTGTATTCAGACTGATCCCTGCAAATGACATGTTACAGACAAGACACTCAGGTCGATTTCCTTCCTTTGTCAGGTGAAAATGTTTCACTATGTCAAGGTTCTTTTCCTTGGAACATATGTTCCCAATCTAACACATACATAAACACACACAAAGCCAACCACTAGTAAGTCCTCTTTTACTCAGCCAATTTTAGGCTTCATTTTGTTTTAAAGCTAAAGACTTTGGGAAGCTCATCTGGTGCCGACTTAGAGAAACCCACTTAAGCTGTTCCCATATTGTATATTTCCCGTATGAATTTCCATTTCAAAAAGTTCCAATTACAAGGGTGTATTTTTCTGGTCTGAACATGTTTTTAACAAGCAACTAATTCATGTTTCAATTATTAAAAATAATAAGGACTTTAGCAGGTTGAATCTGATATTTTAGCTCTAAAGAGAAAGTTTGCTATAAGAAGAAATAGGTGAAAGACTGGAACATAAGATTTTTGTAATAGCCATAGCTGTTTGAAGACAGTTTCCATTTAATGAGATAGGTGTTAGTGATGGTAGGAAATGCTGAATGTGAGTAATTGAGGAAGAGTCAGAGTCAACGTTTCCTTTTGGGATCCGTTTCAATAGAGGAGGAAATCATTCCGAGAAGTAATTTTTGGCTTATATTGCAAGTAAAACTGCCTATTGGCCAAATTTAGAAAGTATTGGGAAAGACACACTCAGGATCTAAATGTCAGCTTTTAGCTTTCATCCTGTGGGGCAACCTGTCACCACTGAGATTGAAAAAGGGACTGATGCCATGTGTAAAATAGATAACTGGTAGGAAGCTGCTGTATAACACAAGAAGCTCAGCTCAGTGCTTTGTGATGACCTGGAGGGCTGGGATGGAGGGGTAGGTGGAAGGGAGATTCATGAGGGAGGGGATAGATGTATGTCTGTATATATATATTTATATATATAGGTTATTCACTTTGTTGTACAGCAGAAACTAACACAGCACTGTAAAGCAATTATACCCCAATTAAAAAAATAAAAAGAGAAGAAGTGATGTTATCTCATGATTCCTTCTTGGTTTCTGGAGGTGAGTTGGTCCTGTATTTGAGGATGGAAATAAAGGAGGAAGAACCATCTTATCTAAGGTCTGTCTGTTAGGTTTTCTTTAGATATCCTGACTCCATTCAAGAAATGTCTTGGAATGTGTTTTGCATGGTGCTGAAATCTAAGCCAACTTTATATAGAAATGGTAGTTAGGTCTCAAAAGTAAAGGCGTTTATTGATATTAGTCCTTTGCAGTGGAGCAGACAATCTACTGGACTATGAAGAGAGCAGTCTCAAAAACCCTTTTCCACAAGAGAAGAATGTTGTATTCTGTAAACACAAACTCCCTGCTGTCTTTTTTCTCCTATCTCTTAACACATCTTCATACATATTATTGAATCCACAGGCTATGGATTTGAGGACAGCATTGACTAAGCTAAGTGTCATAAGGGGTCACTTTAATTATAAATCCATAGCTCATCAATGGATTGAAATGAGGGAGAAAGAACTGGAATAACCTTGGTTGGATTGCATTAAGTTACCATTTTGGAAAGCCAAGAAATTCCAAAGGTTTTCAACAACAGGCCTTGAGGAGACTCTTTCCCAGGAGGCTGGCTGGGGGGTGTGAGTAGCCTTTAAGAGATTGCAAATTACACTGAATAAAGAAGAGATTTTTTTTTTTTTTTCATGGAAGGAGTTTCTATTACATGTTGCAAATTAAATTCCAGATGTTCATCACTACAAAATCTCTACCAGATGTCCAAACTGGCTGGAGATATTTATTGCAAGTAAGGCACTCAGCACCTGTCCAAAGAGACCCCCCCCCCCCGCCCCCTTACCTTTTCATGTGCACTAACATGATAATCATGCAGGAGTGACAAGATATTTAGACTCACTCAATAATTAAAAGAGGCTAGGAAAATTTCTAAAACTGTTAATTACTCTAAATGGCAGTTAAGTAAATGACTATAGTATTCCCCTTGGGATATTTTTAAAGATTTATTAATCACACTGTTTCAAAATATGAGATCCACTTTGGCAAGTTAATTCAGAGTAGAAAAAGGACTTCAGATCAAATAATCCAACGCAAAGGAGAGATAGCGACATTTAGCAGCTCTGATTGCTGCTATAAGATAGCTCATTTGCATAAGTTATTTTTTGTAGAACTTCCACTTTTACAAGGCACAGGATTGCCCCTTCTTTTCTGTTACATGTATGTGGTATCCTCAGCACATGCCAGTCCCTGGGGCCAGGCCCTACCAGGCTGTTGGAGGTGGGTCCTTAAATAAGTCCCTTTTTTTCTGATCACATTTAAATCTGAATGTCGGTTTGAGTTCTGCAGTTTGAGATGTATGTTAGAAATAAAAGTTAAGATTATAATCCTTGTGACTTTGGAACGAATGCTTCCATTTCTACTAAATCAGTTGAATTTTAAGCCACACATAATGATGGCCTCTGGGACTTGTTGCTTTGTAGGGAGGTTGGGCAAAAGGAAAGAAGTAAGGTGGTTTGCTTTGAAGCTCACACTTCCATGCAGTTCATCACACATATCCTCCCTCCCTCCCTCCCTATTTACAGCCCATTTAGATGGCAAGACAGATTACCTCTTTTGCCTTCTGAGACCTGCCTTTAGAGTGAATGTAGCCAGAATTAATTTTTTCTCTTTGTTAAACAGATTTTCTTTTAGAGCAATATTCACACAAAATTCAGCAGAAAGCTAATATACACCTTTAGGCCCCCTGCTGTGTAGACTCCTCCTTATCAACATCCTGCATGGAAGAGGTACTTTTGTTACAGTCAATGAACGTACATTGACACATCACTATCACCCAAAGTCTGCAGTTTACGCTAGGGTTCAGTGTTGGTGGTGTACATTCTATGGGTTTGTACAGATGTATAATGACATGCATCCATCATTATCATGTCACACATAGTAGTTTCACTGCCCTAAAACTTCTCTGTGTTCCACCTATTTATTTCTCCCTCTCTCCTAATGCCTGGCAACCACTGATCTTTTACTGTCTCCATGATTTTACCTTTTTCAGAATGTCATACAGTATGTAGCCTTTTCAGATTGGCTTCTTTCACTTAGCAATTTGAAGTTAAGTTTCCTCCGTATCTTTCCTGGCTGAATCTCTTTTTATTCATGTAAAGATTTCTTTGTGTTGGAGTGGGGAGAACAAAAACTCATAGTTTTGCCAGGAGTTGGGCTTCCAGTGTTGTGGTCATTCTATGAAAAGATCCTAGGGTAACACACCTTGGATTTTGATAACCCATCCATCAACCTGGAAAGTTTTTGTATCCCTATTTGCCTGTCTGTTTTTGCTATTGGGATATTCATAGGTGTTTGATGTTTTTCTGTCCTCTTTTATTGCCTCCTGACTCAATAAACACAAGAATCAAACAAGGCTTGAGATGGACGATTGTTAGGAGGGGATAATATTTATTCATTTCTACAAACAAAAGGTAGAGAGAGTGCTTTTATATAGACAAACTCAGAATAGTTTATCTTCGAATTCCAACTTCCTGTTTCAGCAGAGGGCACTCCGACCTTACCTACAACCTAGTGTTTTTTCATCGACCAGTTTTGGAAAGCAGCTAGCTTATCATATCCATTCTTCAGTTTAACAGTCATTAGTGAGTGTTATTGTCAAAGTAGAAACCAGATACATCAAATTAGAACTCTGTCCTATCCTTCGTGATCTAAAATCCTTTGTTTCTCTCTCACCTAAAGCCCCTGCTGTTCTCTAATGAAATCCATGCATTTGCATGTAGCTTTTCTGACCAGTCTCTGAACTTCTTGAGATTGGGTCCCATATATTTCATCCTTGGGGTGTAGCACAATGCCTGGCACAGATTACCCACTCAATAAATACCTATTGAACAGATGAGGGGAAAAAAAGGTGGAGTCTGACCAAACTATTACAAACAAAGTGGTGATTGTACAGTGTATTTGATGTTTCTCTATAGTTTTCCTTGTTGAAGTCATACTCATGCTCCATGTTGCCATGTATCAGAGGCAGAAAATAGCATCTGCCTTAGATCTGCACTGGAAGAGCCTACGGTGTCACCACATTCAGTATGGCATTGTCTGATGCCCGTAAAGGCTTGATCATGGTAAATCATGTAGATAATTAAAATAAATGCTAGCTCTCTCACTACACTTTGGTCTTATAAAAGCCCAAGACAGATCCAACTTGCTAATTTGCATGTATCCTTCCTTGGTCCTTAAATGCCCCTCTCTTCATATCTTAATCACAAAATTTTACCAAACATTCAAACCATCAGCTCAGATTCTACCTTTCTCATGAAGTTCTGTTTTAGGCCATCAGGAATGTTTCCACCTGGCTTCCTGTAGACATTGAACCTTTGAAGAACCCTCATGACTTTTACCCAGTTTTGGATAAACTCTTGTCTTATATTTTTTTCATGGATTTCCCTAATGGACAACACTTCACACATATCAGAATTCATTGCTACAGAAAATAACGTCCTGTGTGACATCACTGGGAGAGGACTCTCATAAGCTTGCTCCTGGTTTACTCTGAACTTTGCTTCATGTGCTTTTTCTCTGCTTTTACTTTGCATCTTTTTTTTTTCTGTGATAAATTATAGGCATGAGTCTAACTATGCTGAGTCCTCTAGGGACTGAGAGTGGTCTTGTTCCCTGACTCACATATGTTTGGAAGAAAGTGAAGTCGCACGGTCGTGTCCGACTCTCTGTGACCCCCGTGGACTGTAGCCTACCAGGCTTCTCCGTCCATGGGGTTTTCCAGGCAAGAGTACTGGAGTGGGTTGCCATTTCCTTCTCCAGGGGATCTTCCTGACCCAGGGATTGAACCCAGTTTACACCTGTGTAACTATCAATCAGATCAAGATGTAGAATATTTTTATCATTTCAAAAATTTTCCTCATGCTTCTTTCCAAATAAAAACCCTTACTTCCAAAAAAATCTCACCATTATTCTGACTTCTGTTGCCACAGGTTGGTTTTGCCTGTTCTTTAATTTCAAATCAATAGGACAGGGGACTTCCCTGATGGTCCAGTAGTTAAGAAGCCACATTGCATTGCCCGGGACATGGATTTGATCCCTGGCTGGGAGACTAAGATCCCACATGCCACAGGGCAACTAAGCCCAACTGTGGCAACTAGGACCTGATAGAACCAAATAGGTAAGTAAAAAAAAAAAAAAAAAAATCAATAGAATCATAATAGTATGATTCTCACGTCGGGCTTCTTTTGCTCGAAGTAATGTTTTTTGAAATTCATAAAAAATCCAGTATATCTAGAACATCCAATGGAGTATCCGTTGTAGCATATATCAGCAGTTTATATATGTACCATAATTTAGTTTTTCTTCTGTTGACATTGTGTTGTTTCCAGATTTTGGCTATTAAAAATTATAGCTATGATGAACATTCTTGTATCAATCTTTGAGAAGAACACATGTGTTAATTTATCTTAGAAAATATCTAGGAGCCAGATTATTGGATAACAGGGCAGATGCAGTTTTACCTGTATTAGAAATTGCCAAGCAGTTTTCTAAAGCAGCTGTAATATTTTACATTCCCACCAGTCTGAATCCTTGATGGAACTTGGTATTATCAGTCTTTCCAATTTTAGCCATTCTCATGGGTATGTAGTGATATCTTGTGGTTTAAATTTGCCTCTCTGATGATGAGTGACATTGAGATATTTTTCATATTACTACTGGCCATTTGGATACCTTCTTTTGTGATGTGATTCATGTTATATTTTGAAATGATTTTTTTTTTAAACTTCTTATTCTGTCCTGAGTTATATGACTGCATTTCTGTTATTATAATTCTGATTTATGTTGTTATTTTATATAATTTATCATTAACATTTTTTGATTACTTAATATGAAAAATATTAAGTTACAGTTTTCATCTATGAATATTTTTCTGGAGTGATTTAATTATCTATAGAGATGCTATCTCATACCTAATTTTCTATTTCTTATAAAAATATTGTATAGAATTCAACTATGATTCTTTTTTGTTGCTTATTTTTTGCATGAGATTAGTTTTCCTTCACTTTGAGAAAGAAGGGACATGTCAGGATAGCTTTTCTAGCTCCATTGCTGTGGAATTCTGTGTTTCTGTTGATTATTGTTCTTGTTCAGAAACATGACTCATACTTTTGGATATCTCCTGGTTTTGTTTCTCGTCTCTACTTTCTTTGGACCTTTGCTTTTTTCCCCTGTCTTGGTCAGTTTAGGTTCTGTTCCCAATGGTTCCTTCCTTATGTGGAGCTTTGTTCTGGAAAAGCATTTTGGCAAATTCATTTCCCACAGTTTTTAAGTCCCAGGTTAATTAATTAACTTCCGGCTCTTTGTACTCAACTGCCAGCACTCCTTACAGTTCACCTGCATGCAGTCCTCAAATTGGCTACCCACGCTTTCCAGTCAATATATGTTGGCAGTTTTGGAGTTATTTTCTTCTCAGATCCGTTAGATTCTTCCTTACTTCCTTCGGTTTCTTCCTCTATAGATGCTGATACTATCTGGGTATGTGATTTGTTCATAGTTATTCCTGTTTGGGTTCATGAGAATAATTATTCCTTATTATTTTAGTTTCTGTCTGTGCCTTTTTGGTTTGGTTCTGTTTTTATGTGGTGATTTAGGAAGATTAAAAAACTATTCTCTTTCACCACTATCTTCCTATATTCTGTTTTGAATTTAAGCCAGTGTGCATTTTTTTTTCAGTATATTTATATTTTAGGTATTACTCAGCTTATGGAACAGGAAAAGACATCTTCAGAGCTTTAAGTGAACAGATGCTGAGTTTTCAACCCCTTAAAATCATGCCATGATAAATTGATATCTGCTGGGCCTTTGCATCAGACTGTTTTGAGAAGAGGAGCTTGGGAAGAGTATATAACACTATGTTTAGCTCTTTTTTCTTTTCTTTGTTTTTTATTTTTGTTGAACAGTTCCCCTACTTCCTCAACTTGTTTTCCTTTCTTGATTTGAATTCCTGGGAGTATATTTCACTGTTTTTTTTATGTAAGAGATGGCTTAGCAAAAGAAACTTCTTAACCTGTTTTCTCACTTCCCAAGGCAACTATTGACAAAGGTATGGATTTCAATCCAAACATACAATGGAACTCACGAGACTGTTTGAAATCTTTGCATAATGAAATTTCTCTGTGGGATTCTTGCTTTCTTTTTTGTCCCATTAGGACTCCTCCTATGCTGAGTTTAGTAATGAGCCTTCTGGTTCAGGATATTTTCCTTATTCCATGGTTAGTGACTATGCAAGTTGGGGTAACCACATAATCCAGTGGGTCTCTTAATTTTGTCTGCATAAGAATCACTTGGGGTTTTAGATCCCACAAACTGGAGATTCAGATACAATATTATAGAGTGAGTCTAGTAATCTGTACAGGATATACATCCCAGATGCTGATGCAGCTTATCCGTCCAGGGATCTCAGTTTGCAAAACAGTAGTGGAAGCCAGAACTATTTGCAGAGGCCAAATCAAAAGTAACTTTGGTGAATATCTTATCCAAAATAGACAGTGAAGTCTCAGAAAGAAATGCTTTTTGTGAATGTTCATTCATTCAGTTTTAGTTAACATCTTAAATGTTGTGTATGTGTCAGGGCCTCAGCTCATTCATTCTGAAATGAATAAGAGATGAATCTAGACTCTATGGCTAATATGAGAGAAAAGTGCAAAGGGAAAATTCCAATATAATGTTAAAAGGGCAAAAACGTTGAACCTTGGCACCTTCAAGGGAGTTATCTGTGGCTTTCCAAATTTGCCATATAACTTCCACCCTCAAACCCCGCCCCAGTACATCTGTAATTAAGAATGAAGAGCAATAATCTCCTTTTCGTTAAATGACCTCCACAGGCTTCTGTTTCAATTTTGTTCAGTAAAATTATAACACATCATGAATCTTTTGGTCTATCAAAAATATTAATTCACAATGGCCAACAGTTATCTGAGATCAAACTACTGTAAAATAGTGCTATTAAAGCTAATTTGTTAAAAATTCAGATTTTTTCCAGGTCCTACCTCTAGATATTATTCAGTAGGTCATAAGTGGGGTCTATGAAGGCTCAGTTTTAATAATCTCTCAAGTAATGCTATTCCCATTGGTCTAAGGACTATATTCTGAATAGCACAGTTTTAGAAGAGCTGTAGGTAGCACTCAGGAACTAGTACTTAATATCTTAGATTGAGGAGTGGCAGAACAAGGATGTAAAGAGGCTTTCACAAAGGACCTGGGTCTTGCAAGTTCAATAGGAGCTCTTAATGTCGGAAACCATGAATCATAAGAGAGGATTTCCAGGCAGATGGCACAGTATGTGCAAAGACAAGAGGTGCAAAATACACAGAAGATACAGGGCCCTGTCTATAGATAACTCTCTACAGTCTAAAAATCCACAGTGACACTGGAGATGATGGAAAAAAAACAAGTTTCTACTTGAGCAGTGCAGGAAATGAAAGTAATGGAAAAGCTAAGCTCCTACTTGAGCAGTAAAGGAAATGAAGACAATGGTATTTGAACCTCAAGGAAACAAATTGTGCCAAGAGATAGCAGGATGCACCAGGGTGTGATGTCCTTTTGAGATATTCCTGAGGAAAGGGTGGGGGGTTTGCTTCCAGGGATGAGTCAAGTGGAGTTTTGTGTGTGTGGGACAGATAATGTTTAGAGCTTCCATCCAGATTTCTGGTTCTGTGATATTAAAAATGCATTTAAGCTTTGGGAGCACAAAAAGCAAAAATACTTCATATGTGTTTCTACTTGATTTGACTTGAAATATGCAAAAAAGGAGGCTAGGTTCTATCAGAGAGGGGAAAAACTTTAACCATCTTCTCATAGTACCTGTAAATATATGTATTTGTGGTTGCAAGTTCAACTGTAAGTTTCTGACTGTATTCCTGGGTGAAAAATCCCACAATAACCTAGTTTGTCTTTAGAATGAGCTGGCAGAGAATGTTGTAATACTGGGCAGCAAAGAGCACTGCCCCTGGTCAATAAATGTAATAATTGGGAGCTCTTATCAGTAGCATCTGGAGTTTACAGAAAAGAAAACACTTCATTAGAAGGAGCATTTCTAATTGTGGTCCCAATGACTTACAC